TATTTTTATTTTTATTTGTATAACATTTATATGTTGGTTGTTGTTGATTATCTGTATTTTGAGTAAGATATGAATTAATAGGAATAACTTTACTACCTTCAAATTTACATTCTTTATTATAATTTAAGAAATGTTCAGGAATTGTGTTTTTATTATCAGTTAATGTTACTTTAAATGACTTAAATATAAATTCATTTCCACTTGTAAATGAAATTGTATTTGTTGTAAAATCAACACTACTACAACTAATCTTACCTGTTCCAAATGTTGTTAATTCTGAAATGATAATACTATTTCCAGTAACTGTTAGATCCCCACTTGTAGTAAGTGTTTTTGCTTTAATATCTCCTGAAATAATCATTGAATTTAAAATAACTGGTGTATCCGTATCAATTCCATTACAATTACCATATACTGTAAGTGTTTTGTCTTTATTATTGTCTTTAGCTATATTCTCAATTTTAACATTATCAACATTAAGAATAAGATTTTTTGTTTGTCCAGTAAGATGAATAGTAGATCCTCCTTCATATGTTGATTTAATAGCATAATTGATTGTTTCAGATGTTACACTTGAGTCTGTTTCTAATTCAATATAACAATCAGATGTTTTGCATTCTATCAATTCATGTTCATAACCAAGTTTCAATTTATTTGAATTGTTATTTGAATTAGTAATGATAATCTTTGTTGGTAACTTTTTAGAATTACATTCATCTTCTTTATCTGTACATATAGAATAATAGTCATGATATAATAAACATATTGTTTTACTTTCTTCGTCACTTAATTTTGAAGTAAATAACATATTTCCATCACATGAAACAATATTATTATCAGTAAATGTAATATGATTAGTTAATCCATCAAGTAATAGTGCTGAAACATCTGGATGAAATGATGAATCAATGTTAAAATTAGTTAATTTAAGAGAATATTGATTTCCATTATTAATTATTGAAAGTAAAGTTGATTTCACTTTCATAGTTTCAATAGTAATTTCAACTGATTTTTCTTTTGTGTTTTCTTTCGTAATAGTAATTATTCTATCTTTATCTCCATACTCAAACTCTTTTAGTTTCAATTCAAAACTAGTACTAATACTCTTATCTACTGAATATGCACTAAATGAACCAGTTGTTATCAATGGTAATTTAGATATAACTTTATTCACAGTTCCTCCAATATAAATAGATGTTACTCCACTAGCTCCATTCAATGAAATTGTGTTTGTATTTGAATTATCTTGAATATTTGTTATTTTAGTGACATCTTTAATATCAATAGTATTTGAATTTGACTCAATTATTAACTTTTCTTTTAATTCATTTCTTCCTTTTAACGTAACTGAATTAGTTGTTGATGGAATATTATAAACACAAATAGTATTACTATTGCCGTTACCAAGTGAACATGGACATTCTACAGCAGTGAATTGTTCATCAAATAAATTACTTTCTTTTTTATCAATTGAACATACAATTGTAGTATTCATTTCTCCTGATTTCATCACTCTAACAACTTGTCCTTTATCAGTAGAAATTACTGATTTAGTAAGTGAAGTAGTTTGTTCACTAATCGTAATTGAGTTAAGAGAATCACTTGCAATGAAATCACAATAATTTAGTTCTGTATTATCACAACTTCCAGTAATACTCTGAACATTGATTTTGCTATTTTTTAATATAATATAACGAGAAGATGAAACTGAAACTGAAGGAAATGAAACAGTAGAAGAAGTTGCAGTAAACACTTTTTTATTATCAGAAGATGTTTTGAGATTATTGCTGATAAGAGATGAAGCTAATTTCAGTGCATTTTTATCTTCTTCATAAGTAACTGTACCTATTACTGTCAGTTTCATATTAGTTGGATTTAAATCTCCTATTTTCATTGTTTGTAATGTTAATTCAGGACTTTCTTTTGTTTGACCCGTTATTTCAATATTATTACCAGAATCTGTTAATGACTTAAATGACAGAGATTCTTCAAGTGTATATTTTTGTCCTGTTGTTAAAGTTAGTGTATATTCTTTGAGATCATCAAATTCTTGACAATCAAGTTCATTAAAATTTGACTTTGTTATTGATTTTGTATTATCTTTTAATGAACAAGCACATGTATTCACAGTTCCAATACGATAGTACGTACCACATTTATATGATGATACTCCATCAATCTTGACATTTTCATCTGATTGTGTTGTATAAACACATGCTGAATTAGAATTACATTTACCAGAAACTTGAGTGACTTTAATAAATGAAACAGTAACAGAATTATCCATCTCTACTGACACACTTTGTTGTTTTGAATCATCTCCTTGTCCACTAGCCTTAATAACATCTTTTTCTTGTTTTGTATCATCTTCTTTAACAGTTACACTAACATCTTTTTGTTGTTTTAATTTTAGCGAATTGATACTTTTTGATAAAGTTATTGTACACTCTTTTGTTGGTTGAACAGAGTTCCAATTCTTATCGATGGTAAGTTTAGAACCAGAAGAACAGTCATCAACAAGACTCATTTTCGAATAATCAGTAATAGAGTCACAATCAATTTCTGAGTACTTACTGTTTGTTCTTGTACAAATACATTTGTCAGATTCTGAATGATCATTTATTACACTCTATAATATTCACATTATTACTTGAAAGATCTAAATGAATACTATTCTACTCTTTAACATATTAAAGATTCTATTATTCTTTTCTGTTGTATCAATATTTTCAACTTTTATATTTGTTTCAATGATAAATGGACAATTATTGATAATTTAAGAGTCTTAATTGTTCTTGCTCCTATTAATGTATGTTTTGTACATGAATCAATTTTAAAAACTATAGATATTGATTTTATCTTCAAAGATTAACTATAATTTCATCATTTGTTAATATAATATCAAATAAAACTGAATTGTAATCATCTTCAACTGTAAAATCATCTGAATTGATTAAACAATCTTTAAACTTGTAAGAACAAATAAAAATGAAGAATGTATTACTAATAATCATATAATATCAACTATGTATAAGTTTAACTTCTTTAGTTATCATAAAGACGTTTAAGAATAAATGCACCAACAAAAAAACTGTTTAAAATTATACAATCTTCTTGTTTCTTTGATTCTCTTTCTCTTTACTTTTCCTATTGTTATTACTTATTTCATTATGTTCTTTCTAAACCTTTTTTAATCTTTTTTCGTTTCAGTATTTGTTTCTAAAAAATAGAATCATAATCAGACTGAATCTCACTTAATTTTTTTAGAAATACATACTTGTTATTATATTTAATTAATGGAGTCTGGTTTATTATAATGTTTTGAATCAAATTAAGATTATTCCCTTTATAGAATATTTATAAGTTAGATAATATTTTCTTTGATTTCTAAATACAAAGGTAGACTTGAAAACAGTCAATAATTCTTTAATGTCTTTAAATAACAAAATAACAAATAATAATAGGAAAATTGAATATAAAGTAAATAATATCAAAATAAAATTGAGTGTAAGCTAAATAAATTGAAATATGGAAGTATTTAAAATAAAAACAAAGAAAATCAAATGAAAAATAACAAATAAGTATAAACAATAACTGTAAATAAAATTATAATGTTATTATGAAATATTAAGTGAAATATTAATGATTATTGTTAATATTTTCAATTTAAAGTATATAATGAAAAGATATAGTTCATTCCAAATAATTAATAACAATATTTATAGAATAAAAGAAGTATATATTTATAAATGAAATAATTTAAAATTACAAATAATATAAAAGATAATAACACTGAAGACTGAATTAAATAATCTCATTGTTCTTTTATTTAATATTTCATTTAAGTTGAATAAATAAACAATAAAGTTAGTAAAATATATTGATAATTAATTTATGGTCCAAGTATTAATAAATGATAATAACATTATTTTATTTACATAAAAATAAATTAATATCGAAATAGAGGACCTTAAACTGGAGTTGTTTAAATACAAGTTTATTACTTCAAAAGAATCTTCCTTCAAAGAGATATTAAAAACATTACAAAAAATAATAAAAAAATGAAAAAAATGAAAAATTTAAAAGTAAAATAAAACTGAAAAAAAAACTTAAAGAACTTAATATAAAAAATGGTTCAAATAACATGTCTTTTAGCTGTAATTTTCTGTTTTAGTTATTGTTATGGAATAAACAACCAATGTAGTTCAGCTACAAATGTTGATTTGACAAACAGTGAACAATTTATGGTAACAGAAGATACAACTCATGCCAGTGATTCAATTTATAAAGTAGGAAGAAAAACATATAAAAGTAAAGGGAAGTGGTACCGTGTTCATACAGCTGGATTAGGTAATAATATAGAAATAGATACATGTTTATCTGGAATAACAAATTATGATTCAAAAATTGCAGTTTTTGGACAATGTGTTAATGGTATGGCAAGTCAATTATTATCAACAAATGATGATAGTGTAAAAGGATGTGGATCTGCTGCACGACTTATTTTTAATGATAAACGTAAAACTAGTTTTTATGTATTTATTACTGGAGCAACAGAAAATGATGTTGGTGTATTTGGGCTCAGAATTATTAAAAACCCTTCATTCAGTAATAAACAATGTTCTCATGCTGCTGATATTACTGAATATCCTTCATTTAGAGAAGGAACAACAACTGGATTAGCACCAAATTTCCATGAATTATCTGGCTTATTTTATGTTCTTAAAGGAACAGGAGATAAAATTCATATTGGAACATGTCACCGAGCCACAACAGCTGATACTGTTATAAATGTATTTGATAATTGTGATTCAATGAATCCAATTCCTACAAAAATGACTGCATGTGAAGACGGTAATATGGGATCTAAAATTCATCTTGATACTATACCTGGTAAGACTTATTATATTCATGTGGCCTCATCACCAAATAAAAGAGGAATGTTTATAGTAACATTTGACATTGAAAGTTCATTTGGACCACAAACATGTGACAAAGCACTTGCTATTACTTCTTTACCATTTGCACATACTACCAAATTAACAGGAACAACTCAAAGTATGTCATGTGGAAGTTCAGTAGAAAAAGTTGGTTCATGGTATTCTATTGTAGGAGACGGATATGACTATTTAATGTATACATGTAATAGTATGAATGGACCACAAGATGGAACAATGATAGAAATATTTGAAAGTTGTACATCTAATAGTAAATGTGAAATGAATAATAATGGATGTGGATTGCATGGTAAAATTAGTAAAAAATTAGAATTAGGAAAGAATTATTTCATTAAAGTAAGTTGTTCTAATCCACATAACCAATGTAGAGTTACATTAAATGTTGATAAAATTAATCCACAAGGAACAGTTAATAGTTGTATTTTTTCTAAATTAGTTAGTATTACAAATAAAGATGATTCATTTACTGATGCATTTGATTTACATACTTCAAGAACATCACAAACTCATTGTGGTGGTGATTCTCAAAAGAAAGGTATTTGGTATAAAGTTGTAAATGATTATAAATATGCTTTTCCTTTATTTATTCAAGCAAATGTTCTTTTAGCATCTTCTACTAAACACACAGCTGAAATTCAAATGTATAGAACATGTTCTTTAGAATGTGAAGAAAGACAATATTCAGTTCATCATGTTTTACTTAAACCAAAAGAAACAATAATGTTCTTTATTACTACAACAGAAGAAGAAGGTCAAGTATCAGTGTTTATGAGAAGAGACTATCATATTAATCATGACACTTGTAAAACAGCTTTAGAATTTAATGCTCCATTTACTTTAGTTGAATATAAACCAAACACTGGAAAAACTACTACTCCAATATGTGCTAAAGATATTGTTGGAAGACACACTGGTATTTATTATTATTTCCAAAGTCCTGTAACAGATACAATGGTTGTAGAAACTTGTGGTCTCGAAACTCAATTTGACACATACGTTGAAGTATTCCAAGGATGTGGCAATGATGCTAGTTGTGTATTAGCTAACGATGATTCTCCAGAGTGTGGTAGTTCTGCTTCATATGTAAAATTTGAGGCACAACAAGGAGCAGAATATTATATTTATGTCTCTGAATCTAGTAAAGCAGTAGACACAGAAGGTACATTTAGACTTAATGTTTATACACTCAATCCACCATCTCATTCAACTTGTCAAAAAGCAGAACTATTAACTCCTGGATTAACACAATACGCACTTACTAAATATGCTTATGAATCTGTTAGTAATTGTGAACCAAATGTAAGACATGACATGCAATCCTTGTTATATGGAGTTATTGGAAAAAAACAAAAATCAACTAATCATTTAAGAGGAGTTTGGTATACATACTCTGCATCAGTTAAAGGAAAATTACATATTAATACTTGTAACGCTGCTACTTCAGTAAGAACAAGAATGGGTGTTTATAAAAATTGTAATGCTGTTAATGGTATTAATATTCCTGATCAGTGCATAATAGAGCATACAGTCTCTTATCAGTCTTGTTCAACAAGAGGAACTTATGTTAGTGTTGATTTAAATCCAGGTGAAACAGTTTACATTTTTGTTGGTGGTGAAACTGAAAAAGATGTTGGATTTGTTGCTGTTGATTCAGAATTCCAAACAGAAGCACCTGAATATGTTCCAGTCATATACACTCCAAGGGTTGGGCCAAAAAGATTAAAAGAAAAAAGAACACTATGGTATGTGTGGGCCCTTTGGTGGTTTATTTATGCAGTTGTTTGTGTTGCTACTTTTACAGTATTAAAACTTTTTATTAAGAAGGATGATTTATTGAGATATCATGAACTTTAAATTCATTACTTGTTAGGCTCTTTGTTTAAGTATTTTTTATTTATTTGTTATAGAAATAATAACATTATTAAATTATCTGTTTATCAGTTCAATTTATATTCTCTTGTTTCTTTTCTTCGTCTTCTTTTTGTACTGTTTGTGCTTCTTTATTCTTTTCTTTCTTAAGTTCTTGAAACTCTTCAATTGGCACTTCTTCAACAATTTCATCGTCTCGGAATAACTTTTCTCCACAAAGACTTTCAGCTTCATTAATAATAATGTCAACGTCACTATTAATTCCAATAGTTCCATCAGAACAAATCAACACTCCATTGTTATTTTGCACTTCTTTCCATTGTCTTAATTCTAATGAATACTTAATCATAAAAACACACTTTTCTTTGTACTCACTAAAAATCTTTTCTAAAGCTTGTTCAAGAACATGTTCTTCTCCATCAATATATTCTACGCTAAGTGCGATTGTTGTCATATCTTCTATTCTTGACACAATTCCTTGAATACTTTTTTGAGAAATTCCTGGAAGTGCAAAATATCCTCTTCTTTCAAACGGAAGTTCTTCAGTAGTAAATGCTTGAAGATAATTTACTTTTCTTGACTCAATACCTTTTTCAAAAAAGGCATTTTTGATTAAATTTTTTGATCTAACAGTAAACTGAGTCATTCCTGTTCTTCCTACTGGGCTTGAACATTGAATATGGTATTCTTCATCTTTTTTAGTGATTTCATTAAATGGATGACAACACAAAAACACTCCTCCAACAACACTTGAACTTCTACTGAATCCTTGTGCAACATCACCAAATCCATATCGACATAAAATAAATGGAGAAGTACCATATTTACCTAATGAATTAGCATACTTTTGAAGTCTCGTTAAAATTTCTAATGGATTATCCATATCATTATCTGATGACATACAAATTCCATAAATTACCATGTCTTGACATAATTGAGATAATTTAATTGAATTCATATATTTTCTAAGACTTCCAAATGAAGAAATCCCTTTATATAATTGAGTTTCTTCAGGTATTAATTTTCTTTCAGTATAAATATCATTTAAAAATCTCATTAATTGTCTTTTCTCAATAAGAGTTAAATCATTACATGTAAAAAGTGCATTTTTTGAATCTGGTACCTATCAAATAATTATCAAATGTAACATTAAAGAATTATTAAACAAAAACAAACTCTCATTATCTTATCTTTCGTATATAAATATACTGCATCTACTGAAAGAAATTCCATATACTTATGAATCTCTGCTTCAGCAATTATATTTATCAAAGACCCATTAGCATAAAATAGTTGTGGAGTTAAATCAATACTAATAGACCTTTGTAGTGCTAAGTCTTTTAGTGGAATTTCAATAGAATAAGATGTAGTTAAATCTTTAATATTATTTTCTAATTCTCTGTAATTGATATAAGTGGAATGAACACCATACAATTGATGAGGGTCAATCACAACAACACTCTTGTGTTGGTGAGATAAAGAAGCAGCAACAATAGACTCAGTTACACCTGTTCCGATAATGGCATAGTCATAAACAGTGGTTTTGAATTCATCATAAGGACTAGACATGTTTTAATCTTTATGAAACCCAATTTAGTGTTTTTGAGATGAGCAAAAAGCTTTTCTTTTTAAATTCATTTCAGTATTTTAGTGATAGGCTTTTTAATCAAAATGAGATCAGAGAAACGTGTCAATATGATATAGTAAAGGTATATTTAAATAAAAAAGTAGTGAATATTACCTGAATGATCAAAAAATACCAAAATAATAAAAAGAATAAAAGAGGAATGAAAAAAAGAAGACCAAAAAAAATCAAACATACTAAACCCTTGTTATCAAATTAAATTTAGAGTCTTCTTCCTCTTCTTCCTCCCTTTCTCTTAGTGCAATCAGTTGGGATTGGGGTAACATCTTCAATTCTTCCAATTTTCATATTAGCACGAGCAAGAGCTCTGAGAGCAGCTTGAGCTCCTGGTCCTGGGGTCTTGCTATAGACTCCTCCTTCTCCTCTCATCTTAATGTGGAGAGAAGTAACTCCAAGGTCTTTGCATCTTTTAGCTACATCTTGAGCAGCAGTCATAGCAGCATATGGAGAGGATTCATCTCTATCAGCTTTGACTCTCATACCACCAGTAATTCTAATGATGGTTTCTTTTCCTGAAATATCAGTGACATGGACGAAAGTATCGTTGAAGGTAGCATAGATATGGGCTACACCGAAGGCGTCTTTAGTTGAACCTGGAATAACTTCTGGAACGTTTGTCTTTGCGGCTACTTTCTTTGACTAAAAAGATTAGTATTTAGTTAAAACAACTTCATTTGTTAAAAATATAAATGAAATGTGTAGTGTAACAAACCATGCCAATGGGTTTATTTAAGAACTCGATTTAATTAGTTCAAAAGGGCTAGTAAACTATAGTTTTTTTTTAATTAATAATTAGGTTTTACTAAACCTTTTTTCTTTTTTTTTAACAAATTAATTATAAAATGATATATATAACGATAATCTGTTTTTTATAAAAAGAAGTAAATTATATTGTTATTGATATTTACTTGTTTTGAGACAAGTGTATTATAATTATTGTTAGTTTCTTCATCACCCATTGTACTATCAAATTATTGTATTAATGTATTTGGTTACGTTTTATATTATCAAAATTATCATCATTGTATAAGTACTATTATTATCTTTCATTTATTTTGTACTATTCTATTGTTATTACGTTCATTATTATTTTCTATTTCTTTTAATTTTTAAAATGATGATTTATGATTAAACCAAACAATAATTGTCATTAGTAGAATAATTTCTACATATCTCCACTTTAAATTTCTTATTTTTTGTATTATTTATATTTATTAATTTATTTAAATAGCTAGTTGTTATATTTTCCTTTTGTATATTAGTTATATCGTTATGTATGTCTTTTTTGTTTCTCATATTCTAATGCATATTATTTTATATATAAATTTAATGTCATCTAATGTTAATAAATCATTATTATAAATAAATCAGATTTAACTATCTGGATGTTACACAATAAGTTGTTATTGTAAATTTATTTTTCTATTTCTTTATATTATTTCCTGCCTATAGATTTAAATATTTCTTCATATTATGAATATTTTAATTTATATCTTTTTCATTATTTATATACTAATAATGAATATGGCATAGACGCTTATTATTTGTACATCATTTTCATTATTTTTTATTACAAGTTTTTTATGATAAAATAACGTCATTATGATTTATTTGATTTAACCATTTTGTCTATTCAAACAATTTCTTTTTTACTTTTATAAGACTTTGTTGTATTTTAAAAGTAAAAATAATATTCTTTAAGTTATTAGTTAACAAGAGTTTCAGTAAATTTAACTCTAAAATACTAAGAAATTGTATAAACTAAAGAGTGTAAATGGTTGTAATAGAAAATGAAAGATTTTATTGTTTTTTCTTTTAAAAGATCAGAGTTTAATATCAGTTAAAAAGAAGGATATTGAATACTTTTCTTAAGATGAGGATATTTTATTTATGAGTTAGAACAATATTATCTATATATTTGTATTATTTTGAGTATTGGTAGTTCAATGGAAAGGAGTAATAATGATAGAATAGAATTTATCAAAAATTATAAATAGCAAAGAATAACAGATAGTTTTAACATAAAAAATTATAAATGAAGAAGATAGTACTACAAATGATTATTTAGTATAACTTTTTATCTCAAGATATGTTTAATGAACTAAATAGAAGAATCTAAAAATTATTAATTCTTAATATGTTGAGAAATCTTTATATAAATGATACCTTATAATATATTTAATTATTTTCATTAACCAAGAATAATATATTATACCAAATCAATAATTATATGATTTCATTTTGATTACTTTTGATTCTTTCTATATTTGGAATAACATAAAAAATAATAAAATGGTTTTTAGAAAAGAAGAAAAATAAAATGAGCTAAAAAAGAAAGAAATAATAGATCTATTCTTTTTTTTATTTAAATGAGTGTTTCATATGAAGAAATTCTCAAACAAATTGAAGAAGTAGAAAGTAGTATAGATAGAGTTGAGGTTAGAATAACAGAATTAACAGAAGAGGTAAGGGTTTGTGGATAATTGTGTTATAAAGAATTAATAAGAAGAAATAATGATTTAAAAAAATAGAAGTTACAAGGAACAACACAAGATAAAGGACTCAGTTGTTCAGTTCAAAATGAAATTATTACAACTGAAAGAAATAATTTTGAAATTCTTTGTAAAACTGTAGAACAAGTTAAACAATTAGAATCAGTAACTCAAACAACATTTAAATCAGCAACAGAAAATATTGAATTATCTCTTGAAAAAAATCAAGAACAAACAACAGGAGAAATTAACACCATTAGAGATGATATTTCATTAACAGCAAAAATTGTAGATTCATTAGTAGAATTACATGATGAAGTTTGATATTAAATTTTTTAGTATAAGAAATGAATTTAAAATAGATGTTTAATAACTTAGATTGAATCTAATCTCTCTTTAAGTCAAATTAGACAATTTTCAATGAAAAATTATTTACCTAAAATATCTCAAATTGCTGAAATTATGCAACATAATACAATTTATATTTTATCAGAGTTTTGGATGTGTGGATTAATTCAATATGAAACTCCTATTCTTTGTTTTTGGAATAATGATAAAACATTGGCAATTCATTTGTTTTCATCACATTGTCTTGTCTATCAAAATAATCAAGAATTTAAATTCGATATTTCAAAAGGAATTCTCTCTCGTGTTGAACGTAATCCTCATTTAAAATGGAAAGATGTAAATGATTTTGTTCATAAAGAAACACATAATAAAGATGTATACACTCCAATGGGTAAATCTAAATTTTCATTTATTGTAAGTACAGATAATATTTTAATTAGATATGATAGTGGAGATATGATAGCAATTGATAGTCTTGGAGAATGTATTTTTATTGATGGTAAATTAATAACAATCTAATTTACTTGTTTATTTTAATCTAATTTCTTTTCATTATCAATTCTTCTTTAACTAAATTATCTTTATTTCGTTATATATAACATTAATAAACTAATTGAACTTAAAAATAAGAAAACGAAATTTGTAATCTGAAAAAGTAATTTTCAGAAATTAGAAGAATGAAGACAATAACAATTTCTGTTGGGCTTTGTGGAGATTCAGGTGTTGGTAAAACAGGAATTTTCAAACGATATATTACTGGACAATATACAGGAACAGAAAAAGCATCTGTATCTTGTGATGTCAGTTGTAAAAAATTGAATATTGAAGGAGAAGCATATAATTTACAATTATGGGATACTGCTGGACAGGAAGTGTTTAGATCAATTACTGCATCATATTTTAGAAATAGACATGTTATGTGTTTTTGTTTTGATATTACTAAAAAGGCATCATTTTCTTCTATCTCAGGATGGCTTAGAGAATTTCAACAAAACAAAAATTCTAGTTTTAATACTAAACTTATTCTTGTTGGTTGTAAATCAGATTTAGAAGGAAATAGACAAATTACAACTAGTGAAGCTGAACAATTTGCTCAAGAAAATAAAATGTCTTATTATGAATGTTCAGCTAAAACGTTTGTATTTTTTTTATATTTTTGAATGATTTTCTTTTTATAATATTTATTATTATTATCATTTTATTTTTTCTATTGTTATTAATAAAGTATTAGTATAACAATTAATAAAAAATATATATAATTAATAACCTAGTAATATTGGTATTGATCAATTGTTTAATCATGCTATTTCATTAGTTAGAAATGGTGAAATACCACTGGACCAACTCTCAACAAGAAGAAATACTGTTGCAAATACTATTAATGAAAATCAACCAAGATCTACTGTAAACAATATTACACGTACTGCATTTTATCAAAAACCATCTCAATCACAACAACTTGATACTTCTCAATCAGTTAATTTAAATCAACCACCAACATCTCAGTCTCAATTCTCATCATGTTGTTAACATTTTTTATTTAATTTGTTCTTTTGCTTTGAATTTTTTATTTTTATTATAACAAAATTAATAAAAGATATATTGATATTGAAGATAAAAAACCCTGTTTTGGTATTAAAAATCAAATTCAATCATTTATGTTCTTCTTCAGTTTTCACAGGATTTGTTCTATTTCTTCTCACAATTTCATCTACATCAACACCAGTTGATTCTTTTAAATTCTTTAATATTTCATCTAAGCGATGTCTACGTAATCCTTCAGTCAATTCTTTTCTTGCCTTTTTGTTCTTTTGAACTCTTTTTGAATTAGCAGCCTTTCTCTTTGCCATAATTAATGAAATGGAATTTATGAGATGATCTTAAAAAATCTGGTTATTTTGAAAAAAGAAAACATGACTGAAACCACTGAGTCATCAGTCGTTAATTCGACTAGACAAGATTTTGACTCTTTTAAAGAACATATAGAAATCCAATTAAAACAACTTGAAGATGAAGCACTTACAACAGAAAAAGAAACTGAGATTGTATTACAACAAAATGCTAAAACTAATTCTAACTCACAATTTTTATTAGCTGAAATTAATGAATTTGGAAAAGAAATGGAACAATTAAAACAAGCAATGTCTGATGCACAAAAATAATTTTATTTTAATTCATTAATCATTGAAATATTTCAATTATCTTTTCATATTATAAATCATCTCGAATTTTATTAAATTGTGCATCAAAATATGAAATAACTTTCACTATTTTAATGTCAAATTTAAGAATAGAATTAACTGGAATTATTCCTACTTCTCTACTTCCATATCCAAGATGTGGTGGAATTATTAATGTTAATTCATCATTTTCACATTTACCTAATAACCCTTGTTCCCATCCAGGAATAACTTGTCGTATTCCAATTTGAAAAGTAAATGGTTCATCTTTAATAGTAGTTGTATCAAAAAGAATTCCATCTTGTAAAGTTCCATTATAATGAACACTTACATAATCTCCATATTCAATGTGATGTTCACATTGTTCTTGTTTCTTCTAATTAGTTTTCTTTTTTTTTATGATGAAATATACAAACTTTTACAATAATTTCTAATTTTTCTATTCCATTTTCTACTTTTCTAATAGTTTTGAGTGCATCTTCATCACTTATATGATAAAAACGATTTGCATATGACAAAGTAAAGAAAAGAACAATAATGATGAGTTTCATTTGAAATTATTTTAGTTTTTTTCTAGAAAAAATAAAAATCTGAAAAAGATATATTAAAACGAAGTGTCATGACATTATTTAAATTAGAATATATGAATGATATTAGAATTGTTGAACTTCAAAATCTTACTATAGCTTCTCTCTATGATGCATTTACAAAAAAATTTAATTTAAAAGATATTAGATTAAGACCACGTTATTTGATGAAGTTTCTTGATACAGATGGAGATTGGGTAACATTAATTGATGATACTGATATTCTTTTAGCAATGAAACAAATGAAGAATATTACTTTAAGATTAAAACTTGTTGGTTTGTTTTTATTTTTAATTTATTAAAATATTCAATAATTAATTTGTATCCATTCATTTATTCATAATTAGACAGTTATCAAACAGCTACTAGTTCAGTGAATGAAGAATGGGACTTAAGACCATTATTCTCTCAATTAATTAATTCTCCTTCTATCCAAAACAGTATTTCAAAAATGGTTGAAAATATTCTTCAAACATCAGATCAAGTGGTTGAAGTTAGAACTAAACCTGAACTAGTTAAAATGCCATCAAATTATAATACTTCACAAAATGAAATAGAAAATCTTCCAGTATTAGATGATGAAGGTTTGTTTTATTATTTTGAAATAAAAGATGTATTAATTTTTATAGTTGTTGAAGTAGTTGATTAATTTAAGTCTTCTTTTCTTCTAATTAAATTTTTATATTTTTATTAAATGAAAAGCAAGTTGTTTTATGGTCATATAAGTGGATGATTAGAAAAGAATGAATATTGAATTCTACGATATAAGTAATGAATACTTCTGATTGGATGAAATGCAATTCTACAATCCAGTTAAAACCAATTACTAAGATTGGAATGGTTGGAAGCCATGATAGTGGAACATCCACTATTTTACCACAATACGGAATTACTCCTTTTACAATATTTCCTAAGAAACATCGTTCATTCATGAAACGATGGTCAAAAACTCAACAACTTGGAATTAAAGATCAGTGCATTGCTGGAATTAGATACTTTGATTTCAGAGTTGTTTATAATCACAAACTGAAGAACTTTTATTTACTCCATGGTTTATATTGTCAATTACTTGAAACAGCCCTTCAGGATATTACTTTTTTTCTCACAGAACATGATGGTGAAGTTATTATCATAGACATTAATCATTTATATCAAATTAAGTCTTTGAATAATTTTCAGTCCCTTTGTCTATTGATAGAAAAATGTTGTTCTAAACATCTTGTCCTTAATGACTATAACAAATTCATTATCCCTTTGTCTATTGATAGAAAAATGTTGTTCTAAACATCTTGTCCTTAATGACTATAACAAATTCATTATCCCTTTGTCACAACTCGTTCATATCAAACAACGTTTGTTTGTGTTCTGCTTAAATCCTTTTAGACAAAAACTTCCTCTTTATCTCTTTCCACAAGATCAGATTGATTCAATTTGGCCAAACAAGAATGAAACACAAAGAATGTTAAACAAACTTGATTATAACTCTAAGCTTTATCAAAATAACCCAAAACTAACAATAATTCAAGCGGTTGTTACTCCATCTATAAAAAGTATTAGAAAGAGTTATTATACAAAGAAGTATCCAAACTCAACTATTAAAATTGCTGAAAAAACAAATCCATTAGTACTTAAATGGCTTCAGACATCATCAACATTTGTAAACATACTTCTTATTGACAATGTTAAAATGAATGACGAAATCATTCATTTTATGATTACAAGGAATAATTTCATTGAAAAATATTAATTAAATTTTTGTTTCTTTACATGTTCATTGTTTGTTTCAAGTCTACAATAAAATTTAATTATATTAAAGAAATAAGAATGCCAGTAAATATCATCTCTATGTGTTTTCCCATATATTATTTACTTACTTTTTCATTATTCTTCAAGAAAAATGGACCAATAAATTTAATATTTTTAAAATAGAATAGGTAAATCCAAAATATTTTGTATTATTAAAATTCGAAATAAATCTAATGAAATATTTATTTTTAGTCAACATAATATTAATTGATTTATTATAAAATGTTTTCATAACTCTATGAATTACAATAATTTTATTTTCATACTACGAAATTTTAATACTATTACTTAGAAGTTAATAAATATACATTATTGTTTTATGTTAATCATTTTAATTACTAACAATTAGTAAGAAAATAAAATTATGATTAATTTCTGGGTAACTTTTCTTTGTCATTGTTGAATTATTTATTTTGTTATAAACTTCTTTAGTAAATTGGTTAATTTGTATTTATTAATCATTTTATGGCAATGTTTATTGATATTATTTTATAATTGAATAATTCTCTTAATGTTCTCTTGTAATGAAAATATTTGTTTTATTAAAGAATAACTGTGAAGTGTTTTCTTTTTACTAATATAATATCATTATATAGTTCCTTGTGTATTTTTTTTGTTAACAATATGTGCTCTTATTATAAAATTATTTTCTCTTCTTGTTAAGGTATTTTTAATACTTAATACTTTCCTTCATTAAACTGCATTATTTATTAATTGTCTTATAATTATCCTATTATTTCTTGACCATTTCTTTATTATTATTATTTTGTATATGCTTTTATATATATATATAATATTAATACTTTGATTAGAATTATATCATAATAGAATTATATTTGATATAGTTATATTTTTTTTCAATACGCTTGTTCTTATGACATAGAGTATTAATTCTTCTTATACCTGCTTATCAATTTTTTTTATTCTTTTAATTGAATGTATTTGTTTATTTTTTTATCTTAATAAATTACCACCATTTTGAATATATTTTCTTTCTGATGAAGTGATTTCCACTTATCTTAGAATATTATTAACGTTTTATTGTTTTCAATTTGTTACACTAATATGTATTTATTTTATATTCGAATTATTTATTACTGTTTATAATTCATTCATTTGAAACAAACAATAACTGAATACTCTCTTACTCTCTTTAAAAGATTACCAACTATTTATGGTATTATTTCGAATATTAGTTGTTTGAATAAATTGATGATTAACTCTTTTTTTTAAATTTTAAACAAATTCTCCTTAAAACTTTTTGAGTTTCTTATTATATAATTATTTTTGTTATTCTAAAGTACAATAATATTATCTTGTTTTTTTATCTAATTTTCATATTATCATTATAACACGTTATGATAGTTCATCTATTTCTCTTCTTTAGTTTTGTTATACATTTTCAACCCTTTATAAATTCATAGAATATAACATTTGATATAATAAAAAGTAGTGACGAGAATCATCGTATAAAGAATACCATTTTATTTATTTTTTAATATTTTGTGTCAAGTGAGTATAAAAATAAAGTTACATTAAAAGAGTTATTAATAATGATAAATTATTTCAAAGATATTGTTAGAATTATAATACAAAGTATGAATGATAAAAATATATAGGAAAACATAATTTTTTGAATTTTTTCAAGATGAAGAAGTCCAACAAATTTATATTGAATAATTCAAAAATCAATAGAATGATGGAGGGCTTATAGTTTTTTATCTTGAAGATATTCTCATAATTTATGAATTGATAAAAAAAAAGAATTTTTGTGTACTTGTTTGCATGAAAGTATTATTAAATATAATTTAGAATTATGTGTATTATTATAATGATCATCATGAATTAAACAGAAATTCTTATGTCTTCTAATAGAAAAGAACAGTCTTCATTATTAATTTAGATAATAAAATGTTTTAAGTAGAAGTGTTGGCTAACAGTAATTGAAGAAAATCACCATGTTTACACAATAGATAGAATCCAAATATTCTTTGTTCTAAAGTATAGTTGAAAATAATTTGATATAATAAGTATTACAATATCGAAATATAAAAATCTGTTGATTTTTCTTATAAAGAATGTAAAATAAGAAACCTCTTTTAATTAATTTCAGCTGTTCAAACTAATGAGTAAAGAGAAAATCAATCAATTAATAAACAACAATCAAAGATAATACGGAACATCAGACTCACCATATTGCTTAGCAAGATAATACCGTTGAGTTGATGTAAAAGCTTGAAACTGTTCTTTTAACTTATTGTTTAAAATATTTTCATACTCTTCTCTAATACGTTGTTCATTGATTCTAATTGCTGTAAGGACTATGCTTTGAGTTTCTTCAGCTGTGAAAGATGTTTTACCACTCATTCGAATGAGCTCTTCGACTGATACTTCAACTCGAGGAAAAGATGAAGGTCTTTTAAAAGAAGAGTTTTCTGATTTAACAGGTCTTTTGCTTTGATAACTAATTTGATTTTCATTAACTATAAGCTCATTTGTTGGATCGAATAAAGGGCGTTTAGTGAGGGAAAAAGCCATAAAAATGAATTTGTTAGATAGAAGAAGGGTTTAAATAACCTAATTATAATATAATAAAATTTACTATTTAATATAAAATTTGTTTTTCTGTTTATTTTAAACAAAATGAAAAAAAGAAATTTAATTTTTTGTTTAAATTATTTAAAATAACTTTTCATTCTACAATGAACCAATGATGTAACTATATAATGTGCTACAATTAAAAAAAGGTCTTTCACTAATTCTTTAAGTGTTTCCCTTTTGTTTTTGTATTATTGAGGAAGTGAAATTATTATTTTCTTCCTCTTCTTTTATAGATTCTTTTGTTTCTTCTTCCTGTTTTGTTGAACCAAAAATTTCAGAATGATGGACTGTGGCATAGTTATAACAGAAAGGACATCCTCTAAGTGCAGGTCCTAGACAAATAAAAATATTTGCTAAATTCATTTTATTAGTATTTGCGTGTTGAAGAACTTGACTTAACAATTTAGTTAAATTTTCAATGAAATCTTTAATGATTGGAGGTAATTTCTCAAATATTCTAAGATATTCTTCAAGTATCTGGTCATCAGCCATTTCACTTTTTCCTATGGAATATGAGTTTTTTATATTTCTTAATGAAGTTACTTTGTTAAAGAGTAAAATAAAACAAACGTTTATATAAATCAAGAAATTCTCGATCTATATCTGGTGAGATAACTTGAGTAGGAAATTCTCTAATGTATTGTTTAAGTGTACTTGCTAATGAATAAATATCAAATAAACTAAAGAAATTTGTTTCATTATATTCAAGTTTAGTTTTAATCTTTTGAATGGTGTCTTGATTCCCACAAATACGGAATATTCCTTCAGTATTTGAACCATTAACATAAAGGTATTGAATCAATTCCTTAATGGGAGGTGGAATTGTTTGAGTTTTAAATTTATTACTATAATCTTCCAAAGTGATTCCAAAGAAAGCCACTTTTTCATTCTTGCTTTCTTCCTTTTTTTCTTTTTCTTCTTTATCTTTTCTACCAAAAATTGATCGTTTTTTAGTGTGTCTCTTCATTTCTTCAGGATTTCCTGGTAATGATGATCTAACGTGATTTGATGTGTTGGATGTTTCATTTTCTTTAATTTGACTTAATGATGGTCTAACACGTGGACTTGGAATAATATCAACTTTATCTAATCCAACAATATTAGAAGATGAATTTTCTTCATTGATAACTGTTCTAGGAATACTCTCTACCCAAATTGAAAGATTATTTAATTCGTGTTCCCATTTATCACATAATTCATTAGAATTGAATTTAACTTTCTATAATAATAAGTTTGTTTTTTGTTATTATAAATCAAAGAACAAATCCCATTAAAAAATTGAACAAACTGTTAGTCCATTAATGATTAATGTAGTTTCACCTTCTTTTAAAACTGATGGATTATTTAAATAAATAACTTCTTTATATTGACTGTTTATAGAACTTATTACAAAAAAATTTGAACGTAATGTAATTTTCTTTTGTTTAGGTTTAGAGTCATCATATGAATAATCAACAACAGCATTAAGTGATTCTTGTGTAATTGAACTTGCAACCGTATCATACATTCGTAATAATTTTTTAGGACTCAGTTCACTAAAGAATTGATTCATTTCAAATATTTTTTCTTTCATAATTTCTTCTGTTTGTTTCAATGCATTGAGAGACGTTTGAAGATTTTGTTGTATAAGATCATCACTAAAACCAATAGTTGATCTTCTACAACTCTCTAAAATTTCTGTTTTTTTACCATATCTTTTATTACAATTTGTTAATAAAGCTCTACGTTTTGCTGCCATTACCATAGCATAACTTGTTGTTACTCGCTGTGATGGTCTTTTTGTTTTTTCAAGAAAAGTAATGAGGGCTTTTGTTTTATCATTCATAATATGATGATGGTGTGTAGGATCTCTTGGAGACAGTAGTCTTGGAGATTCATCAGTACCTACTAATGAACCATTATTAGAAGATGGTTTTGGTGATTTTAAATCACTTCCATCATTTACATTGTCAGTAGAAAAAGATTTACGATGACTAGTTATAACAATAGATTCCATAATAAGATGATAATTTTAAGTTCATTTATAACATTGTTTTTTTATTAATTTATTCTTTTTGTTTTTTTTTTGTTTTTCTTATTTCTTTTTAATTTTTTTATTATATTTTATAGTTTTGTGTTATTAGATATTTATTATCTAAACATTTTCTATTTTTATCTCATGATATATCAATGAGAGATTTCAATGGTACTAAATTTATATCATAGTATTCTCATCTTATTTTACTAAATAAACTAACTAATGGGTACAAATCAATAACTAATTAAAAAGTAATTACCTAAAGATATAAATAAATTCTCAAATATAACTAGTTAATAAATTACTTCTATAAAAGAATAAGAGGTTTCTTAACAAATAAACATAGTTTTTCTTTTAAATATACAGAATATTTATAGTTTATTCCCATTTAGTTTGAAATCTTAAAATAACATCTTTTTTAACACCATCAATAATTTGCTAGTTTTTATTCTTTTGATAAGTTTTATTGAAAGGTTCGAAGGTGGCACTCAGAGATACCTCACAGAACCCTAATATTTCCAAGCGTTGAGTCCTCAGTTATCGTCTGGTCATAACATCATATTCAAGACTAATTGGTTATTATTTATCAATATTTGTTATGAGTGATTGTTATGGTTAATATTTATTATGATGGCAATATTATTATTTATTAAAACCCAAGCATACTTGTTAATGAAAGTTTTGAATTGAATATATAGGGTCAAGAAAAGGTGATTCTTTAGGCAGTTTCGAGGATAAAGGAAATGAGCCACATCATAATGTAATTGATATATTCATCATAAAATAAGATTATAAGTGGTGATGAGTTTTAATTCATTTAAATCAAATTAAAGATCACACAGTAACTTAAATAAATCACCTAAGTTGAGCATGTTTGAAAAAACATTATTTCAATATAAATAAAGAGAAGAAACTAGTTAGCTCAATTCTCAACATAATGAACAACCTAATCATAGATAATTCATACTTGATTTTTTTTTCTTTTAATAAATTTTATTAAAATAATCTCTCCCTTAAAATTTATTTGTTTTTTCTAAATTTTTTTTATTCATTCCATTCTTTCAAAATTAAAAACAAAAATTAAATAAAACATATTGTAAAATAATAGTTGTAATATAAAACAAAAAATTAAAATAAATAAACAAAATTCGTTTTTTTATAAAAATTTTAAGAAATAAAACTATAAAGGAATAGTTAAATACATCAGAAGAAAATGACCATTCGAGATTTTGTTCTTTCTGATGCACAGTCATTTGAACAATATGGATTCTTTCTAGTTTATATAATAGGTTTATTATATTCTGGATATGGATTTTATATTGTAGTTGAATATTATCTTATACCAGCATGTAATAATTGTAGTAAATTAGTTACTCGAATTATTAAAAATCATTTTTTAGCAAATCTCATAATGATTACAGCTTCTTGTATGCCAGAATTTTTTGTAGGACTAATTGGTTATGCTTTATTAGGTGATATGATTTTCCCAGCATCTATCATTTTTGGATGTACATTAGTGAATTCTGTATTATTAACTGGGTTAGGATCATTTATTTCATTAGATAATGTAGTAGTAGCTAAAACAGCTTTTGTAAGAGATGCAACATTCTTTATTGTATCTGTAATTATTATTTACTTTTTCTCATCACCTTTTACATTAGAACGATTACAAGATACATCAGAAGCACCTGCTACAACATATTTATTAATATTACTTTGGATTTCTTTCTTTATTTATATCATGTATATTATTGCTTTAACAATGATGTCATTCTTTAGTAAAAAACGTGTTTATGATCATCACTTTGGATTTTTTGGTAATTTATTAAATCGTCATAGTGAACAAACTCAATTATCAATAACACTTAATACTGAAGACGTTCCTATTGTTCTTCATGATGATACTGTAGTACAGCTTCATAGTGGATTATTATTTGTAAAATCACCATATTATACAAATATTACTTTCTCTTCTTTACAATGGAAACAACATTGGTGTGACCTTTTTAGAGATGAAATGGTTATACATAAAGACGCTAATCCATTGTCTCCAATATTCCAAACTATCCCAATTTCTTCTATTAGTAAAGTTACATGTGATACTATGGATCCATCAATCTTTATTCTTTCTATGTGGAATGGAAGTCATACTGTTAAATATACAATGAGAAGTAATCAAAGACAATCTTGGGTATCATATTTTGAAGTATTATTACAAGAAAATAATACATTAGTCAAATCAAATAAAAAACAATCTTTCTTTGAAATTATGCAACGTAAATTTACTTGTAAAGCAACAATGTCTGATAGTCAAACTTTTCTTAATCTTCCAAGAAATCTTCCACAAAGAATTGTTTATGTTTTTAATTGGCCTTTATTAGTAATTTTAGCATATACTATTCCTGATGTTAAAATTAAAACTTGTGCTCGAATGACACCAGTTACCATATTAATTTCTTTATTGTATATTGGCGTTTTTGCTTTTATTGGAATATTTTGTGGATATCGTTTAAGTGAAGTAATTACTTGTCCACCAGATGTTTTAGGATTTACATTTGTAGCACTCTTCTTATCAATTCGTCATATTATATCTGGTTGGGTTAGTGGAAGAATGATGTGTGCTAATTTAGCTATTCTCAATTCTTATTCTATGTCATTATTCTTTACAAATGTTGCAATTGTTATTCCATGGATGATTTATTATTATGCTAAAATTGTCCATAACGATAATACTATTTATGAACAAAATCATTTTACTTCATATTCTCTTGAATTTGTTGTTGCAGGAGAAATTTTCGTTTCAATTTGTCATTTGTTCTCAACTATTGGGTTTAAAAATCTTACCATCAGTCATGCGTTCGGTATTTTCTTAATTCTTTGTTATATTATTGTTTTCATTGCTACTCTAATGACTTGGGTTGGTGCTGCTGTTAAAAATTGAAATGTTAGTTCATTCTTCTTTCTTTTATTCTTTCTTAGAATACATCTTAAAAGTATTGATTTTAAAGGTGAGAATATTCAGAAATTAATAAAAGAAAATCAAAACATCATATAATAACTAAAGTTAAATAAACATTCTAAAGAATAAAATAACTTAATTATTCATTCTTAATAAGGAGTATATCCTATTATTTCATAACTTATATTAATTATATTAAAACAGATAATCTAATGAATCTTCAAAAGGTTTAATCCATAAAAAGTAATAAATATTAAAATTAATATGAATTAATTTAGTATTTCAATAAAATAAAAAGATGTTTATATAATTCTAATTTAAAAAAAATAATAATAAATTGTTATTAATACCAATTTTTACTTTATTTTAGTTTTAAGACTACTTCATTTTATCACTCTTTAAATTAATTTACTTATATTAAGAAAATTATAACTAAGAAGAAAGACTGAGTTGTATGATAAAGTTTATTTGAAAGACAAATATAAAAATTGAAGATAAGGAACAATGGTTTCAGTCCCAATCGTTTGGGTTGTAAGCCCATTTTTCCCACTTTTTAGAACAAAAACTTTGCATGTCTGAGTCATGACACAATGCTCCAATCATACAACTTGTTGTATCAGGCATATGACAACTAACTGGATCATCATAACAAGGAATTTTGATTTGTTGGCCAGTTCCTTCACCTAAAACAGATACAGGATCTCTTTCTGAGAAAAGTGATCTACTAAGAACACTCAAACGCTCTTTAGACATATTGAAGTTATGTTTTACAAGTGACATTCCGGGTGGTGAAAGAAGGAAATGTTCAATATTTAATTCAGTACCAACGATTTGAGCTATTCCAGCTCCAAGAGAATGACCACTTAATACCAACTGACTATAGTTGTGAACATTCATTTCATTGATAATAAGATTTCTTGCCATTGTAATAAGATTAAATGAACCTTTTGTGAATGCGTTAGAACCAAAATATGAAATAAGATAACTCACCCATGATAATGTATCATCAGTAAATATTGGTAATAATGTTGAACACATCTTAGGAACTGATGATTCAAGGAATAACTGCATATCATGAAGAACTTCATGAGTGGCATGAGTTCCTCTTAATGAAATAACTTCTATATTTGTTTTTTGATTTTTTGCTTTAAGATAATATAACCAATGATTAACATTCTTCATTTCCATTATCCATCCTCGACTGCGTAAAAAAGTTATGACATAACTAGGTGCTCCATATGCAATGTAAGATAATAATGTGTATTCCTTTGGAGTAATTCCAAATGTATCTTCGGTACATAGATGGGAGTATTCTTGAGGAGTTGTAATTTTTTGTTTCAAAGAATAATTTATTGGTGATGGTTTTGTAAAATTCATTTCAACAGGATCTAATACTCCAGGTCTTAATTTAGCCATTGAATTAACAGACTTTGTTCCAAATATTGTAAAAGACATAAATACCAGTGTAAAAAAGAAAATTAATGGAAATGACGTTTTCCAATGAAATCCAAAAATTCTCATTCTTAGTGAATCAAGAAGTGTGAATAGACTCACTGCACTGTCTTTACTTACTTCTTCTTCTAAAGGGAATGAAAGTTGAACATTTTCATTATTTTGAGTTTCATCTTTACAAAACCCATCCTCTGTTTTTAACACTTTATTTGAAACTAATTCAATTTCACTTGAATATTCTCCATGAGGAGAAATACATTGGTTGGGTTGAAAACTAGTTGAATTGTCAAAAGAATTTTGTTTAATCACAATATGTTCTTCATTAGTATTTTTTTGTTTTTCTCTTAAGTAATGAATTATTGGAGCTAATTGACCAATTAATGCAATAATATTTAGTATCCAATATCCTAACAAATTACCATTTGACATTTTTACATCAGCTGTTGTGAAAATGAGAGCAATAAAGAAAAGAATAAAACATCCTGTTAATAATATAACAGAAATAATAGCAATAAAGTGTTGAAATTTTTTTGAACACTTTTGAAATAATTTTTGTAGAATCGAATACACAAAACTTAATGGGAAGAATAATGGCAATAACTCAATCCATGGAATTGACCCCAATGTTTTGTGTGTTTTGATTAATTCAATAACAAGATCAACAATAATTGAACAAATAAAATAAAAAAGAAGAAAACCACAACCACCAAAAATATATGCAGTTCCAATAGCATTTTCAGGTCTTGTATGTTCATGTTTATTAGCATAAATAAGACCACCAATAATAGTTAAAATAATAATACATCCAAAAAATGAAATATGTTCAGTCAGTACATAAATAAATTTTATAACTTTATTTCTCCATGAATTAAATGAAATTTGATCTAGTATTAAAGGCTTTTGATACTCTACATTGTTGTGTGATAAATATTTATTTTTCCATTTGTAAAATCGAATGATAACTCTTCCAATATCATCTAATGCAAATACAAAATAATTATACAACCATGAAAATAATAATATGGAATTGTAAATCATTAACACAGCATAAAACCATATTTGGACTTGATATACAGTAGAAATAAGAAACATTAAACAAATGAAAATATATAAAACACACGAAAAGACAAATAACTGAATTTTACAAATAATTGATCCAACTTTAACCAAACAAATAGTAGAAAGAATTAACCTTTTTGCGTCTTCTTTCAAATTTATCATTTTCTTTTTTTTTTGAGTTCATTGTTTAAATCGTTTCTTAATAAATAAAAATCTTATCTCAATAAAAAAGTCTCTTCTTTAAAAAAAGAAGATTCTATTTTTGTTTTTTTGTTTCATTTTTTTTTTAATTTTGTGATTCCCTCTGATTTTACTCTCAAAAGCTGCTTGTTTCTCTAAATATGAAAATATCTATAATAAAGAATTAACTCATTACTCAATTTATCTGTCATCACCTAAAAACAAAAAAAGATATTCTAAATATTAAATTGTTGTCGGAGGACCTGAAATGAACAAAACAACTGAAAAACTTAAAAAGAAGAAATAAAATGAACAAATAAAATAAATAACGTTATATATAACATATAAAAGAAAGAAAAAATTAAAAACTTCAATGAAAAAAGGAAAAATATGAAAAGAATAAAAGACAAAAAATAAAAGAACTAAGAAAATCCAAAGCAAAACATGGGAGATGATATTACATATTATAGTGGAGGAGCTGTTGTTGGAATGGCGGGGAAAGGATGTGTTGCAATTGCCGCAGATAATCGATATGGATTAAAATATCAATTTGCTTCCGCTAATTTTCATAAAGTATTTCAAGTAAATAAATATTGTTTATTTGGAGGAGCAGGATTATTTTCTGATGTACAAACAATGTTTGTTTTATTTACTCTTTTAAATAACTAAATAAAAAAGAAATAAAAATAAATAATACAGGGCTGAAAAAGTAAAATATCATGCAAATTTATATCGGTTAAGAGAAGGACATGACATTGGACCAGAACAATTATTAAATTCAACTGCTCATATGTTATATAAAAAAAGATTCCAGCCATATTATATGTCACCTATCATTGCTGGTATTGATGATAATGGAAATTCTTATGTGTGCAGTTATGATTATATTGGTTCTCCTGAAATTTCACGAGTTGGTTGTGTTGGTACCGGAAGTAATGAACTAATGGGAATGTGTGATTCTTTCTATAAAGAAGGCATGGAACCTGAAGAGTTAGTAGAAGCTGTTGGTCAATGTCTTCTTGCAGCAGAAAATAGAGATGCATTTTCTGGATGGGGTGTAGAAGTTTATTTATTGACTCGTGATAATTTGACAATTTACAATATGAAACCAAGACAAGACTAATTCCATTTTTTAATTGTTATTATTTTAATTGTGTTTTATATATGTCATTACTATTTCAGATATTAGTTATTTATGAGAACCTGATTTTTTTTAAAAAAATCATTTTTGGAACTCTGCATCATTACTCTTGATTATCAAAAAAATAAGACTCATTTCAACTTTCAATAAATGAAGAAAATGAAATGAATGACCAAACAATAAGTAATAAATTAATTTATTTAAAAATTCTTTTACAAGAAATGGACAATACAAAATTAAAGAACATGAAAATAATCAACATAACATTATACCTAAAGAAAGTTTAATTCAAACTTAGTAACGCCTAGTTTAATTAGTTCTCAAATACCTACCAAAGAAGTTACTATAAAAGAAGAGGACTCTGATAAACTACTAACCCTTCATATCTCCTCTTCTAACAGATACCAAGAAAATGTTTATTTCTGGTGAGGTGTTAAACTCAGCACAGTTTTCTGTTCACTTCCTACACCATCAACAATCAACACCTCCCTAACTCATGTTGCTTAACCATTAATGCAATTTCTACACTTAATCCAAACATTAAACCTTCTCATCAAAACACTTCTATTTCATCTCCAATTAACTCCTATCACTTTATCTCCTCAGATATCATCAAATCATTCAGTCTAATCAAAATATCCTTGTCCTTTATGTGGTGTTAATTTAAAGACAAATGACCATTTAATAAAACATATTGAAGCTGCACATTACAAACAATTAAATTAATTTGTTGTTATTAATAACGATTTTCATTATTTTTTAATTTTTTATCTTTTCTTTTGTTTGTCTTTTTTTAATTAATCCTACAACAAAAAAATCTCAAAAAATAAATTTTGGATAGAAATATGAGTGGTGTTCAACCGACAGAAATCGAGATGCAATTAAATGACAACCAACCACAACCAACACAAAAAAATCAAGTAAACGTATTAGATCCTAATGAACTTATGAAACCATTACTTGCCAGTATCTCTCCCATTGGCTTATGCCTAATTTATCTTGGATTCCTTGCTCTTGTAGGGATATCTCTTGGACTATCTTCTATTGCACCCTCAATGTACATACAAGAAAGTATTGGTACATGGCAGTGTAATAATAGTACTATTACTTCATTTGATGCAAACAATTGTACTGGTCAAAATTTAATGAACAACGCACAAGTCAAAGGTCCATTAGGTATTTATAAGATAGGCCCATTCTCTATATTAAATAGAGAATTTACATTAAATGGGAAATTTAAAAATAACTTAAAGTATGGATATTGTTTGTTATTACTTTGTATAAGTTATGAACAAAAGAAGTAATAATTAACTTATTTAGTTAAAAAACAAATTTTTGCTGAAGTAGGCATTTATACACCATCAAAAGATAATGGTGATAATCCTCTTATAGTAGAAGAAAAGACAAGAGAATTTATAGTAGAATGTTTAAGTGGAGAAGATTATTGTAACTCATTACCTATTTATGAAGAGTCATTTACAAATAATTCAGAGTATCTAATTAGTATTCAATTTATAAGTAGTAAATTTAATGAAACTGATGTAGGAGAATTTGTACTAGAACTATCAGCAATATCAAGTCATTATACACTTTTTGAATTATGTTGGAAATTTGTATTTATTTTCTATTCATGTATTATTGTTGGTATTTACTTATTCATATTTAGAACTTTTATATTTAAAACATGGATTTTTGAGGTTAAATGGACATTTATTTTATTAATTATTTTAGTAATACAAAATAATCCTATTTATTCTTATCAGTACACACTTGACACTTTTATTCCAGAATTAATTAATGTAACAGTTTATTCATTATTCTATGTATTCTTATTATTCTATGTCTTAATTACTTTTGAATTTTATAGATATGGTAAAGGTACCAAACAAATAAAATATTGGATTCCTCGAATAATATTCTTTTTGTTCTTTTTTGCTGCTGTTGAATTAGTATTTGTTTATAATAAAAGTGTTGGTTTATCAGATCCTTATTATAATCCTTTAAAAGATATTACTAGTCTGGTAATGGCAGTAATTGCATTAATTTTTGTCATTGCATATATTTTCTGGCTTATTTATATTTTAATTCGAAGTTTTAGTGATGGAATTAAATTAGGTAAAACAAAACGAAAACTTCGTCTATTCGGTGGACTTACTATGATATCAATGATGATATTTTTTATGATGCTAGCCCTTTCATTCTTCTTTGGCAACCAACAAACACTTTCTATTTCTTTAACAACAACAGCGTTCGTTAATTTCTTCTGCACTTTATTAGTTGTAATTAATATCCCTCACCAAGGAGAAGAAAGTGCAATTTGGTCTGAAGAACGTTCCAAAGTTATTGCTGTTGATGACTTATTAGTTTATAAACAATTACCAGATGATGTTGTTTCTGAATTATCTTATGATGGTAATGATGATAAACATTTCTCTGATTTAGAACACCAACAACAAAATAGATCAAATCACTCAAATGAAGCTGTGTTGTATGATGGTTCTGAAGCAATAGAACTTTAATTCATTTTTATCTTTTATTGTTCTTCATCGTTCTTTAAAAATTAAATGGTTTTAATATTATAATAAAAGTATTATTTTTTTAATTCATTGATACCAAGAACTACAAAACCTTAAAAGAGAGTAATATGAACTGTATTTTCATTGTATTCATTTTATTAAATCTTGTGAATGCAGAAGAATCATTCTTTGGACCTCATCAACTTCGAGAACATACATATTCATATGAACCTATTTTTGAAAATACTTTCATTTCATTCAATTATGCACTTATTGTGTTTATCCTCCCATTAGTTATTCTTTTCATTTCTGTTTGTCATTTTTTGTCTATACTCTATACAGGTATTTAAAATTTTAGTTGTTATTCTTTTGTAATGTTAATGGATTATTCAGTGGTAAAGGAATTTTATCATTACTATTCATTGGAAGTGCTATTGGGTTTGTTGGTTTTCTTGTTTACAGTTGGATTTACCTTTCCTTCTTTGAAACGCTTGCGTTTGGAGTTGTGATTGTTCCAGTAGTACTTCTTCTTAGTTATCTTGTTTCTGCTTGATTCATTTTAAATACACTCTTTTTCTTGTCCGTTCGATTTATTTTTAAGAGAAAGAAGAAAAAAACAAAAAATAGTTAAACAAACTATAAAATTAATATATTCTTATGGTTGTTTGTTAACTATTCTTTTTTCAAATAAAGGGATAAATTCTCAAGTTATGAATTAGCTTCCAATCAATTTATTAGAGAATTCTCAAGGAACGTCTGTGACATTAGAACTTAAAAATGGATTTAAATATACTGGAACTCTCGATCGCTGTGATCGTATGATGAACATTCACCTCAAAAACGCTGTTTTAATTAAGCCAAATGGTGATCGTTTTAGTGTTGCAAAATTAATTGTCAAAGGAATAAGTATTCGTTGTTTCTCTGTTGATGAATCGTTGTTAAAAAAGAATGAAAAATAATTAATTTCTTAAAGAAAAACATAAATTTATTTTGTTTAAAGAATATTTGTATAAAAAAAAATAAAAAAATTAAATAATAATTAGAAATAAATGAAATTCATTGAATATATCATGAAATAATTTATATTCTAATGATTAACTTGGTTGTAAAAAGAGTTTATTTCAGAGAAAAGAAATAAATCCAGATGCCAACCATACACACTCAATTTTTTTTTTTAACTTAGCCACTTAATTTATTATATCCATATAATAGATAAAGGTATAAACAAATAATTTTTTTTTGTTATTGAAATGTTAGTGTTTATTTTTCAATCTATTTATTAAAATTATTATAACCTTGAATGAATTGTTGAATACTTTAAATTTGATTTATTAGAATAGAGTTTATGTGATTAAATTAAATTTTTTGTTTTTATTTAATTGTTTTTATGATTTATTTTTAAATATGACTTGTTCGTCTTTGAAATGAATTATTTACAACTAATGACATTTCCAGTCAAATTGAAAAAAAAAGAACGAGTACAGAATATAAGAAATGTAGCATCATTTTGTTTCTATAAAACTTTTCTTAACTAAACGTTCTTATATATAAAAGTAGAGTCATTATTGTTAATGAATAAGATTTATTTATAAAACAAAGTTTTTAATTACTGTTTATGCATTAAGTTATTAAAACAGATTATCTAAATAGATATTTGATATTTTATTTTATTTTTTTTTTTAAGTAACTCTAGATATCATTTTAAAGGGTTTGATTCTTATTACATTGATTGTTTTTTTTTTTGAATTAGTTTTAATGAAGATTCTTAAATATCTTTTTGAACTTATCCTTGAATAAAGTTATAATTATTAGTTTAGTATTTAGTTTTTTAAAAAGAAAGTGTGTATGTAATTAGTTTTAAAACTGTGTTTTATGATTTTATGCATGATAATTTAATACACATAGTTACTAAAATTTAATTTAAGATTTATGCAATAACTTAAATATTGTTTTCTAATATTGTTTATAAATTCTTTCATTTAAGAACACGTGATATAGTACTGATGATTCAGAATTAAATAAGGTGTTAATTAATTTTTATGAAATATGTTTATGAAAGATTGCAGTTAATTAAAATAATATTTTTTAAAGAAATCACTAAAAACTATATCTTATAGAATGAGACAATAATTATTTTTGGTTTAAATTTATTAAATTTTTTAATATACTAGAGAGATTAATTTTCTGAATAGTAATTAGAATTAAATTGAAATAGAGATATAGTAATACTTCATGATAAACACTTTAATTAATATTTAAAAAGATTATTAAATAAAGAGATACAACTTTCATATTTTGAAATATTAAAAAAAAACAAAAAAAATAAAACTAAAAAAAATAATGGAATTTCACACAAATTTTCCATCACATTTAATTTATACAAAATTACCATGTACTCCATTAAGTCTTACATGTAATGAAGAGTGTACTGAGGCATATATTTGTGATGAGTTAGGAACATTATTAATATTCGATATAACAAATCAAAAAGTATTATATAGAACTCAACTTCCTGATGGTGCAATTCAACTCCAAATATCACCAAAAGGGGAATACCTTTTTGTATTATGTTTAAATTCAGCGAGAAATCGAATATTATATATTTATCGAGTTATTCGTCCATTTAGATTAATTGAAGTTGACGTAATACCAAATGTATTTGCAATAGCGTTATTAAGTGATTGTTCAACATCACCAATTGATTTTGCAGTATTGTGTGATGATTTTGAATCAGTGATTCGATATTATTATGGAAATACAGCAAATAAATCATATGAAATTGTTAGTCAAAAACGTCTTCCTTTTAAAGCACGATATTTTATTTCAAACTCAAGTTATTCACAAATTTGTGCTGCTTCATTAAAAGAGCTAATGGTGTTATCATCTAATTTAATAACAATTAAGAAAGAAGATTTACCTTATATTGTTGCAGGAGTTGCATTTTCAGGAAATGAATTATTTACATTAGCTGGTTGCTCTTTAAAATGTCTTGAAGATGAAAAACGAGATATCTTTTTACCATTTGGAATGCCAATGGTAGTTCAATCACATAAAATACATATCATCGCTGCAGATAGAAATAAACTTTATGGAATTGATACAAAAAGTGGTAAAATTTATTTTGCTACTCATCTCCCTGATAAAGTCCTTATTCGTAGTGTTCATACCAATGAAAAAATGTCAACTTTTGCTATCCAGTTAGCAGGACAACCTGTTCTTATTTCTATTATTTCTACTGAAGCAATTCGTAGTCGTGCTGGGCTATTAAACCCAATAGAATTAAAAGAAACAATTAAACTTGTATTTAGTAATATTCCTGAAACTGAATTATTTCGTGCTATTGCTGAGGCACCCGTTTCTGTTCCAACGTCAAGTTTTTCAGTTTATGTTGGTAATTTTAATGAAATTTCAGCTGATGATGTTAAAGAAGTATTCCAACAAAACTTTGGTGGTGTTATTAAAGTTCGTCCTAAAACTGGTCATTGTTTTGTTGATTTTAAAGATGACACCTCAATGAGAAATGCTCTTAGTAAAGAAAAAATCTCTGTTAAAGGTCATGATGTATTTATCAAAGTGGCTCAAAAAAATGCCAACGCTAAGAGATAATTTATTTTTTATTAATTTAATTTTTAACCCATTGTGATTGTTCGTTCTTCCTTATTAATTTAAGTCTTTCTTATTTTAAATTACGGCAATTCTTTTTCATTTATCTTTCACCTTCTTTTATCACTATTTTTATTAATAGTAATTATTTCCTAACAGACGTCTTAATTATTAAAAAGTTATTGTTGGTACAGTAGATACAAATAATATTTTATTCATACTAACTAAAACTTTTAATTATTAAATATATTAAAATGGAAGACTTAATGAATAATCAAATAATTATAGAAAAAGAAACAAGAAGTTTTATTAATTATTAATCATTGATGGTGTTATGCAATATCAATACTTTATGATATTAAAATGAAATATTTAGAATAAAAGAAAATGAAACATATAAACAAACAATCAAAACTTGAAAATAAATATTTATATATGATATAGAATAATAAGATAGGAAA